TGAGGCCCCGGGGCGGGGGCACCCACCCCTGCGGGCCCGGCGGCTGGGCTGCCTGGCTCACCGCCCTGCCCTCCCCCCCAGGAACACCATGGAGGCCCTGCCAGCCTGCCTGCTCAAGGACGTGTACCAGGAGGCGCTGGGCTCTGCGGTCATCGGCATTGACGAGGGCCAGTTTGTAAGTGCATGGCCAGGGCGGGTCCTGGGCAGCTCTGCAGGATGCAACCTTCAGAGCACCCTGAGGTCTGAATCCTCTGTAGGAGCGGGTGGGAAGAAATCCCCCGGGGCAGGTTGATCCTGCTGGACTATGCTGGTGTAGTCAAGCCCTTCCCTTCCCTTAGTCCCTGCAGGCTGAGGACGGGGGCCTGGAGTCCATTTCACGGATAGGCAACGTGGCTCTAGTTTTCTTTGTGCCCTGTGCTGTTGTCTGGCATGTGCTGCTGGATCCTGAGCAAAGTGCTGCCCCTTCCTCCTGACGCTGGCTCTGTACCTCCTCTAGTTCCCAGACATCGTGGAGTTCTGTGAGATGATGGCCAATGCTGGGAAAACCGTCATCGTTGCTGCTCTTGATGGGACTTTCCAGAGAAAGGTAAAACTTTTTTTTTTTTTTTTTAGTACAGCTGCTTTGTAGATCCTTGTAGAAGCCACCCAACAGAACTGCCCCTTCTGTCTTGGCACAGGCCTTTGGGAGCATCCTGAACCTGGTGCCGCTGGCAGAGAGCGTGGTGAAGCTGAACGCTGTGTGCATGGAATGCTACCGAGAAGCCTCCTACACAAAGAGGCTGGGAGCTGAGAGGGAGGTGAGTTCCCTTGGAACAGAAAGCACCTCAGTAGCTTCACCCTGCCAGCCCTGCTAGTCTAGAGGGATCTCCTCAGGGGAACTGGTCTCTCCAGAGTTGCTCTCCCAACTTTCTTGCCAGGTTGAAGTGATTGGAGGAGCAGACAAGTACCACTCTGTCTGCCGAGCCTGCTACTTCCGTAAGCGGCCTCAGCAGCCTGGGTTGGAAAACAAGGAGAATGTGCCCATGGGGGTGAAGCAGCTGGACGTGGCTGTCTCCCGGAAAATCTTTGCTTCTTGACTGCTGAGCTCCCGCATGGGGGAGAATGATAGAAAGGAAGCTAAATGCTACGGCTCCGACACCAGATATGGCTTCCCCTGCTTTTAGCAAAACTGTTAAGTGCCTTTGCTCCACCTGCCAAACCAAGCCGCTGTTCCTCTGCACCAGGCGCCAGGAAGAGGGGCATCAACTGGACCTGATCGTGTTGGGTTGGGAGCCCAACCAGAAGCAAGTTCCTCTCTCAGAATGCTGACCAGGGAGCAGTGTAGTTACTGATGCTGCCACACATGATGCTGTCCTGGGCAACTGCCTCAGCAAGCTGGGCTGCAGGGCTTCCATTGCCCGCCGGAGCTCTGGCCTGCTCTCCTGGGTATCTGCATGTGTTCAGGCTGGCACCGGTGGCTGGTTTGTTTGCCTGCGAATGCGACTGTTTCTTTATCTCTTGTAAGCTGTTGCTAAATTCCAGGTTTCTTAAGACAACATACAGTAACTTTAGTATTTTAAACCCACTTCCTTTTTTTAATGCAGCCTGAGGAGATGATATGTTCTTTGTTGTAGATCTGTGGCACAACTCTTCAACTGACACGCGTAGCAGTGGCCTGGCCTCAGCGGTCCCTTTGAATGCTCGTGCCCAGCCTCTCTGTTCACCGTTTCGCTCGCTTGCTGTAACTGTCCGGTAAATTTCTGTTGAAACAGAGGAGGGGAAAGGGAAGGAAGGCAGGCTTGGCTGGTGGCCTGACAGGAGGCTCTGCTGAGCTTTTCAACTTCAAAAGGGCTAGCAGTAGCCTAGCAGGAGTCCGTGTATTAAGGTGGAGTTCCTTTTGGAAGAACTAGACTCCAGACAGAGCCTCCTCTCCAAAATCAGGGTGTTTTGGGTCAGGTCCAAGCTTGGTGCTGCCACTTCAGTGCTTGGTTAGAATTTAATCTGTAAAGGTTTGGGCTGTTTCTGTGAAGACACAGCTACTTGGAAAAGGGTCTCTGCTTCGAGCAGATGGCTCTCAACTCCAGTCATGTGTCTTGCTCTCTCCCAAGCCTTCCAAAAGTTCTCGAGGCCGATTCTTCCTCTGCTATAAGTTGACTGAAGAATCCTTTTCCTCCTTTGCTTGACTTGGCTTCTGGAAGGGGTTTTTTTTATTTGAGATTTTTTTTTTTTTCCCCCTTGTTCCTTACAGAAGTGCTTTTCCCTGTAAGCCAGCATCTGCAGGCTCTGAGCAGTAGCTCTTGGTTCTGCCAAGTCAAATCCCCACGTACAAATGCAGCCCCCTCTGTTTGCCTATGCCCTCCAGCTCGGAGGCTGGGCTCCCTAGGTGGTCACAAGAGTGTTGGTGAAAGCCCCCGCTCCCTCTGCATTAAGTGGTGCGCTGACAGTTGTGGTACTCGCAAGCACTTGATTGCCAAGCCTGGGCTTTCCCCTGAGGGACGGAGGCAGCACTGCTACTGGTTTAGGTTAATAAATAAAATTACCTCTATGTTTTATTCCAGACTGCTCTGAAAAGGCTTCCCTGCTGTGAACAGTGAGGCTGATTGCTTGGGGCTGGGTGCAGGGCTGGTGTTGGAGCTCTCTGCTCAAACCTTCTACCAAACACCCGAGGAGCAGGAGGGCTTGCCTAAAAATAGCCCCAGCGTCAGCATGCTCTTGGCAGTGCAACACTTGGCTGCTCTGCTGCTTCCCTGCCCGGAACCCCCCGCCCCGGCCCAGGGGGAGGGAGGAGGAACCTGTTTTTCTTCCCCAGAGAAGAAGGGCACGTGGTGGCTAGGTGAAAAAGTTTATTCCATCTCTACCATGACAAACAAACAACTAGTTGAAGGCCAGCCCCAGCAGCGACAGCTCGCACACCCACACCGCTGCTGGCAGCAGCTTCACAACAGAAAAATAGGTGGGGGCAAGTGAGGGGGGGGCCGGGTGCCCAGTCAGCAGGGAAAGTGCCCCAGGAAGGGCCTGGGGCATCTGGAGCAGCCACAGCCCCGCTGGGAGCCCAGCACTCACCGCTCCCACGGATCCACACCGCGTCACCCGAGCACCGGCAGCTCTGGTGCAGGCTCTGAGAAGGCACAGCACGGGAGTTTAGGCAAAAGAAGACAGGGCTTTGGCATCAAGCGCACCCAGCAGCAGCTGAGGGGGGAAGGCACGGGGAGCTGGTGGCCAGCAGGAGCTGGACTGTGCTGCCCGGCTGTGCTACGGCAGCGAGAGCCGGCACTTGAGGGATTGCAGCCAGCAGGGCTGGAAAGGCACTGGAGCCCGGATGGGCCAGGGCAGCAGTCCCAGGGG